AGTTTTTAAATGTTGAGGGAGATTGCGATAACTCTCCCATTTAAAGAGAGATAGTCCTGTGCTTGGAAGCTGAAAGTAAGATATAAATGCATTTTTCACATTTTTTCCATTTTACTTACATAATTCATTGTCCATTTAATGGCAGAAGGTTTTCAACTCAGGTTTTCAGTATCGCCTCTTAAATTCACCAGCTGTTTTTTTTTATTCACGTATCTTACAAGTGTGGTGCTGAATGAAAGTACTTGCTAAAGAAAAGAAGGCCTTCAATCATGCATCTGCTTCTGTACTCTTAACTTCCAGCTGGCATTAGACATGTGGAGGAAACTGATGATAGAGCCCCTACAGACTGTCCTTATCCGGATGCTGCTGAAAGAAATTAAAAAGTGAGTGAGGTTGTATTGTCCTTTTCGAACCTATATAAGTTACCAAGAACTTTAACAATGTGCGCAGCGTTAGTGCAATCATGACCAAAATGTGTGAAATGGGTCACTCTGAAAAGCAAAAAATGATCAATTTTCTTTGCAAGCATTTTGATTTATTGGGAAAATATACTTTTAAATGGGTTATGTCCTTTTCTGAAACATTTACATACAGTATGCCTTTCCTTTAGTGGAAGGAATGGTTTGAGGGAAACCAAAAGTCTTGTCATTAAATGTGCCTGTCTTTTCAGTCTATATCGCTAGAAGATTTTGCAGTCAGTTACTAAACTTTTCAGGAGTTATCTAGTGACTTACTTGAGACTTGCCTGTTTGTGGAGGTGTCGCTATAATTTTGCAGTCTAACAACTTTTAAGGCTCATTGTTGCAGTGATAAACCTGGTCCAGTTTTATCCTCTCCCAATAACATGATAATGTTAAAATAATAAAACTTATAATCAACAATCAGTTTAAGTGTTCTGATTCATATCTGTGTTGGCTTTTTGTACACTTTTTTTTGGGCTTGGTTTGTTCTGGAATGCTCTGGTAGTTTTTGTTGGGCTTTCCGGTGCTGTAGGTAAAATAGAGTTCATCAATATTTTAGAGCTAAATTAAGATAAAAACATCTAAATTGACAAGAATGTGCCAGACACGAAATACCCACAGGTGAACTGAAAGCCTTTATAAAAATTTGAAGATTAGGTAAATAAGTCTGCAGATATTTAAGCACTTTGAGAAGCCACCTTTAAAGGCGCTATATAAAATAAAGTTTTTTATTATTATTAAAGTTTATTATTATTCCTTCGCAGCCTACGCATGCTGACGCAGCTGCCCACCTGAACCTTTATTATTTTTATATTTGAGAACATGATAACTTATAAAACAGTGTTTGCTTGGAGCATATTCATTGTATTCTGTCTCTTTTCTCTCAGGATATGGTAACATAGTGACAATGTTAATCAATTTATTCCTTCATTACCTGTCGCTGTAAATGGTCATAGCCTTGTAATATAGAGTAAACTGTTGTGTTTTTTTGCTTTACTTCACAATTCATCCCTCTGTTTTAATCACAAGTGACCGGTGTGGTGAGGACCCTAATCAGAAAGTAATCCATGGGGTTATCAACTCCTTTGTTCATGTTGAACAGTACAAGAAAAAGTTTCCTCTTAAGGTAAGAAAAACTTGGAGAACACTCAGGATTTAATTGGACTTTTTATCAAATTAATTTATTTAATATAATTAAAATAGTATTAGAGAAATTAAATGAAATATATTTTTTGGGCGGTAATTATCCAATTGTAATCCATTCGGTACTGTATTAGGTCAATTAACTATTGAACAATAGTACGGGGTGTTTTCCAAGGAAAATGTATTTAATAATTTGTATTCTATCTTGTATTGGCTCTCTTAAAAATCAATTTCTTGTGATTTCAAGTGTGAATTGAAATAAATACTTGGTGCAACGGTTTTCTTAAAAGTGAATGACTACTGGAAATCATTCACAGTAGTTTTATGTAATATATGTAATAGCTTTAAAAAATGTGTTTTTCTTACACTTGCAGACTTCCTTTTTTTCCTGTTCTTCAGTTTTATCAGGAAATCTTTGAAGGGCCGTTTCTGTCAAAAACAGGAGAATACTACAAGCAGGAAGCTTCCAATTTACTGCAGGAGTCAAACTGCTCACAGTACATGGAAAAGGTAAGGGTTCTCTAGAAGTTGCTTTGTTCTGTAGAAGTGGCACACGAATTAAGCTGAATTGTAGAATTCTTATGCAGAATTATTCAATCTTTTGCTTCCCTATTAATGAAGTATGTATTCCATAGGAATCAACTGTTTCCATCTTTCCTGTTTATGTTTTTTGTTCTAGTATGGCCTTTCTCCATGTTGTGATACATAACTAAAGTATTTTCCTTTCCTTTTGTTTACCAAATTTATTTTCTAAAATAAATAGGATGCTGGTGGTTTGCTTTAAATCACGATTCAGTTTGAATTTAGGAACTCCCAATATTTACTTATTTACTAGGGGATCCCTGTAAGTTAACATTTTTGGTATTTTACATCAGAGGGCTTTAACTGCAGAAATTCTCTGCATCAAGATAATTCAGATCATATTTTTTTTAATTTCTGGGCTGATGGGGGACCAAATTAAGAACTACACCAGTTGCCACATATCAGGAGACAAGAAAATTCTGGGTCTGAATGATTGTGTTTCTCTTTGCTGAACATGTACTGTACATGTTTTAAAACATTATTTTTACGCTGTAGTCATCCTAATTCACTGAGCAGGCTGTCTTCTTTTTTAACAGAGGGACAATAACTGCCAGTTTAAGTGTGAAGGGATCAAATCCAGACATTAATAATTTATTGATCACATCAATCACAGTGAGCCAGAGAATGGCAAAATAAGATATATGGTACCAGACATGGAATGATTTGGAATGAAAACTGTTAGTGGCTCTAGGTGAAGACTCGAGTTTCCAATAAAACCGTGGTTTTTCCTACAGGTTTTAGCGAGATTAAAAGATGAAGAAGTGCGATGTCGGAAGTACCTGCACCCCAGTTCATATGCCAAAGTGATCCACGAATGCCAGCAGAGGATGGTGGCCGACCACCTGCAGTTCCTACATGGGGAGTGTCAGAACATCATCCGGCAGGAGAAGAGAGATGGTGCGTCTTGCACACTTTCACAGGAGAAACCCAAACAAAATGAGAAAAATTATAGGAATTATAGGAATCTCGAAATTGAATTAAAACATGTTCTATATCTGTGAAGCACAGCGAGTACAGAGGTCACATCTTGTACCTGCGTAAACGGCCACTTGCAGGTCAGATGGCTGTTCAGGTTTACTTAACTTCATCTGAACTAGAAATTAATTTGGCATGTCGCTTACAGCTATAAGTGTTTTGAACGATGTGACTTTTATATTTCAGCTGTTTGCTCTTTTCTGCTAACACACCTTAGCTATGCAGTTTGATTCAGTTTGGTGAATCGATTCATTTGATTCTGGTAAGGTAAGCAAATCGATTCAAAGGATGCGTTCATTTGATTCACCAGTTTGCTCGAATGAAACAATGCCATTGAATACAGTCTGAGTTCATTAATGACTCAACCACTGAAACATGTTTAATTCACTGAACAGCACAGCATCACTGAATAGTTCACTCATTTAAGAAAGTGAATGGAAAATTAGGGAGAATTAGTTAGAGGAATATGTAGTTTTAGAAACAAGGTAATACTTTTGTGCAAATCCTTGATGAAATACATACAGATAGAGGACAAAAAATGCAAACAGAAGTGGGAATTCACTTAATTGGGTGTTAGACCATCACATGCAGCCAGTATGGCCTGTATATAACGTGGCAGAATATATCAGTATCTGGAATTCTGCAGAATGCGTGCGGCACCATTCTCTGTAGTGTTCAAGCAGAACGTCAAATATTCCTAAATATCTAACTTCATTCATGCTGTCACAAGTATGGCAAGAGAATTCTGGGTTCTGTAAGTGACTGAAGAAGTTCCAACGTTTTTCAGCCCCGTAATGACTGCCACCGTGACTGTTTGCTCTGTGTTTCTGACAGACATGGCGAACATGTACACACTGCTGCGCGCAGTCTCTAATGGTTTACCTCACATGATCCAGGAGCTGCAGGTCCATATCCATGACGAGGGCCTTCGAGCCACCAGCAACCTCTCTCAGGAAAATGTGAGTAACGCTCAGAGTCTACAGGTTCACAGAAAAGAAAACTGGAAACCTGATCGACTATAGGTCTTTTTGGTACTTCTCAGAGAAAAAGAGGTTACAATTGGAAGGAGGTCCCTTTAGTTCATTTGGTGGCTAATTTGATAGTGGACACATGTATCTCACCCTGCAGTTTTTGGAAAGGCCCCAACTTCGACAGCTTAACTTGAGAGTTTTTTCCAGACGCCCACAATCCTTAACATGCACTGCCCTTAAAAGGAGAAGTCTACAATAATTCTGTATATTATTCTTTATATATATCATTCTAATAAATTCTTCAAATATCCATTTTAATCACATGTATGTAAAAGTTCTTTTGAGTGATTTAGACGTTCTTAGTTTTTCGGTCAATAATAACTCAAAAAACATTTTAGTTGGGCCTCACATATGACCCAGTGAAAACCTTTTTATTATGTTTGCTTGCTTAGCAGAGAATGTAAAATGAGGCTTTTATGAGTTTCAAGCCACCCTGCAGCAAGGGTCTGGCCTTTCAGCATAGCAGGCTGAAACTTGTGTGGCCTGTATAGCTCAAGGTGCTTGAAGATGCAAGTCACATTTTCATTTTTAATTTGAGTGAAAATTGAAATTAAGATTGGACTGTATGCATTTTTATGTTATCGGTTGCAGTTATTTATATTTTGCATGGTCTGTGTTTTGATATATACGGTATATGCTTTATTTTTTCATAGTTCCAATGTTATAAAACACATTTCTCTCATATCATAGATGCCAACTCAGTTTGTCGAGTCTGTGTTAGAGGTTCATAGTAAATTTGTTCAGCTCATCAACACCGTCCTGAATGGTGATCAGCACTTTATGAGCGCACTTGATAAGGTAAATGTTTTATTACAATAATTGATCTTTGGCTGGCTTTGACCAGTGGTTCAGTAATTGAATTCTGGGTAATGAGGTTAAATTAGTTTGTACTATTTTGCTAAAGAATATCAGAAACATTTAAGAGTAGCTTTTTATTCCTGATATGATGAGAGATCCTCAAAACTGTAGTGTAGTTTGTTTCGCGCTTGAGGTTGTTGATAGAGAGACATTAAGTGAAAAATTGGAACTAATGACTGATAATCATGTTGTAGAACCCAAGTACTGGATATAATTATCAGCATGAATTAAGAACAGTATTAATGTTGCTGGCTTTAGCTACATTTCGCACCATTGTAATGTGATCTAGACTTAACATCTGCTAGTTTGCCTTTTCACTTATTTCACTTTCATTTCAATTCAGTTTCACTTTAACTTTCTGACAACTTTTCTTTTTTTCAGGCTTTGACTTCAGTTGTCAACTACAGAGAGCCAAAGTCCATCTGCAAGGCCCCTGAATTGGTGAGTACAGAAACCTGCTAATCCACTTCTTCAACTGCCTCATAATAAAAAAAAACTTAATTTAATGCCTTTAAAGGGAATAATCTCATAAAAAAACACAATAAAATAATACAAAGAAAATTACATTTTTTGTTGTTGTTTTTTTAGCATCTAGTTTGACGGATGAAAAGAAATTGGGATGTATTAGGTATTCATATATTGAACAGTCTTTTTCTGAAAGAAGAACGGCAAGGAAGTTTAATGATTTGGTCTTTGTGTTGTAGTTTTAGTGCATGAATGCTTTATATATGTTTTTTTATTTAAAGCTTGCCAAGTACTGTGACAATCTGCTGAAGAAATCTGCAAAGGGAATGACTGAGAACGAGGTGGAGGACAAGCTGACCAGTTTTATCACTGTATTTAAGTATATCGATGATAAAGATGTTTTTCAAAAGGTAGGGATTCTTCACAAGAAGTGAAATATGTTCTTCACAAGAGCATCCACGAGACTTAAAGGTCTTTGTGTCTCACGCCTGCAAATCTAAGCTCTGCAGTATCCTTGGGATATGTGTCAGCATTTTCTCCCGTTTGAAAAGTAATGTGTAAGAGCATGTTCTGAGCATCAAATGAAACTTATAACGGCTTTTATGCACACATGTTTTTAGAAAGTAAAGTAGAGTATATGGAATAAATAGTTTTGGAATTACTTTGATTTGCTACCTGATTTTGACTGGTATTATAAAAATTAAATCACTTCATTAGTGATTATTTAATTAATTGGGCACAGGGGATGAGGTGATTTAGCCTGCTACAGTACATATCTAGCCTGCTGAAAGAAAAATGCCAATGTGCAGTCAGGGATGTTCACTGTCAACATATTCTAACCAGATGTGACCTTACAGCCCCCAACAGTCCAATAATTGTAGGCCATTATCAGAGTCAAAGTACCAGTCCAAATTGAATGGGGATCTGTGAGCGTGAGCATATGAGCAGGAGTGACTGGTCACTCCAGGATTTTCCTTTTAGTGATCAATGTCAACCTGGTCACTCATTGTGACCAAGCTGTGGGAAGACCGTGAGAGAGTGGTCCAGTAGTCCACTGAATTGGAAGTTGTGTTTAAATTAAATCCATATTTGTGTTGCTCATTTTACATCTGCAATAAAGCGTTCCTGTTTAATTCTTTTTATTCATCACAGCAAAATCACCGCTAAATATCTGCTGTAACTTCGTAACTATTTGGGCACAAATTAAATATGAACTGGAAAGAATAAAGTGATATATTATTCTCATTCATCTGATATGCTAAAAACACGTATCATTTAAAATTAAAATGCACTGTATGGCTCCTCTCTATAAAAGCTCCTCTCATATGCACAATGATGCTGGAACATGCCACTCAGACTCCAAGAAAGCAGTCTGTTGGGAGACTGGGTGTTTGCTGTTGAATGACTATATTGAGAGTAGTTGTTCAGTAATTAGGGTGGAGCTCCTGTAGAGAGAAGCAAATCCTTTATGGAAAATATTTTAATGAATGTTTTTTCTTGAATGTAATTGTTCATGTTTTTTGCTTTTGTAATTGGCTCCTTCAGTTGTTATGAGAATATTAGATACTCAGCATGATCTTAATATGTGATGAATCTCCGCCATGCACTTTGTAAAATGCCATCCTTCATTTTGTTTTAGTTTTATGCACGAATGCTAGCAAAGAGATTAATACACGGGCTGTCATTATCCATGGATTCTGAAGAAGCCATGATCAACAAACTAAAGGTAAAAATGTGTTCTCAATTTGTTAAATCTTCAAAACCTGCAAAATATAATTACATGTGTGCTCAACACGGCATAGTCCAGCATTATTTGTGTTTGGATTGTAATCTTGTGTTATAGTAATGTCAAAGGAGCTAATTTCAGCAGACAGCTTATTTTGATTTTGACTGCTTAAATAATCACTGTGGGGAAATTAACATTTGTTAATAGGTTTGAGTCCACTTAAAGTGATGACAGTTGATCACAGACATTTTTTCAAGTAGAGTCTGCAATAAAGAGAATATGGAAAAAAATGTTTTAAAGGAAAATGACACCTTAGCCACTTCTGAATTTGAGCCCTCTTTCATTACAATGCAAATATAGAAAATGATCTTAAAAAAGCTTCTTTTTGACATGTGGCTAAATTTTTAAAAAGTTCAAATTAACTGTAATGTGTCTTCTTTCTACAGCAAGCATGTGGGTATGAATTCACAAGCAAACTCCACCGAATGTACACTGACATGAGTGTCAGTGCCGACCTGAACAACAAATTCAATAACTTCATTAAAACCCAGGAAACAGTAATAGATCTGGGAATTAGTTTTCAGATCTACGTACTACAGGTAAATTATATTTTGCAGTAGTAATATATTAGAGTTTAACTTTAAATAGAAAATTATGTCAGCAAGTTTTATTCAGACTATTTTTTTTTCTTGGTATTTTGTATTAT